TGGAACACAAAATTTAATTTGGCAATAAGTTCACAATGGTTATATGCAAGTAGGTGTGGATGAAACTTGTAATCTATAGGTTATATTACCTTAATTTAAATTATGGAATGTAAACTTGAAAGATCACAGCAGTCTTGGGTAGGAATCATATTCTAATATCCCATGAGGTCAGGACACAAAATTGACAATTATTTGTATGCCCCCAAATATGTATTTATTACAAAATAGAGCTTGTTATTTGAAAATGCTGTGATGGTAATACTAATACATCTATTAACATATTTATAGTATACAATGTAATTAAAGTAATTTAAGCACTAAAGTAACTTTCAAGCAATTAATTAGTGCCAATTTTATCCAATAACTTTTTCCTATGCTTTTATTATTTACAGGTCAAACACATCTGTGTTTTCAAATACATCAGTCTCTTCTCTTGCAAAAATATACTGCACATAATTTTCTGATGATATTTTGTTTGTTTTGAGCTACAGCTGGTAGTACAGTCCTGGTTCTGTGCTGTGGTGCCAGAGACTGAACTTTGGTCACCCATGTGCTATTTCTCTAGCCTCTGAGGATTTAAAGACTCTTGCCTTTAAAGCAAAGGATATTAGGGGCATGTAAATATACAAATTAAATGCTGAATTATCATCATCAGGAGTTCAAAGGTCTATAAAACTGAAGTTCAAAAGGTATGTGCAATTAAAATTTATATATTTCGTTTGGATATACAGATTAATGTAAAACTACTAATCTTCACTTGTTTGCTAATAGGTTGGAAAGAGAACATTTATATATTTCACTGATATTTGTAAATTATGAACTTTTATTGTTTTAAAGTACAATGTTGAATATTGTTACATCTAAAATCCATATAAACAGAAACAGAATTAGATCATTTGAGGATAGAATCCAAGGCTACAGTAATAAACGATGTTATACCCAAGAAAAGTCAATATTTTTTATTTTAAATATTGTCTTATTATAAGTTTGTGTAATAATTTGATAATAAAATTTCTATAGAATTTACTACAGAAATTTTCATTTTTCTAATTCTATTTTCACTTACATTAAACTACTGCAAAGCAATAAGTCAATGATAAGCATTAATCTAAGCATAAATTTCTCATTACTTGAGGATTATATATAATAAATCAAACCAAATTTAACTTGATGTTTTAAATATCAGATATACTAATAAGAGTACAATTCCATCTAGCTACAAAATAAAAAGCACTTTACAACTTTACAGTAAAATTTTAAGGCCAAGTATACAATGTAAAGCAGACATTTTCAATATTTACAGGTGAATGTAAATGAAGACCAAGTAAATGTAATTGCCCTTATAAAGCACTACGTATTATTTTCTCTGCCACTCAGAAATTTGAAAGCATTTGCAATATTACTGTTTAGGATTTTCCTTTAGACATTTTTCCCTTTTTCTTTCCTTCATGAACACATTATTTTAAAAATGTTTTTAAAAAGTTTTTATTAAAATGTTGGCATGAATATTCTTGATTAATATATATACATGACACTCATGTATATACACGTATAAGAAATATATAAACCAAGCAATGCCTCTAAGGCAGAAACCCCCTTCTTGCAATACTTTGACAACTAGAAGAGCAACTCCCTGGGAGGAGGCTCTGTTGCTCTGACTCTACAGGAGAGTAAATTATCCAGGCCTCCTTGGCACTGCTTAAGGGCTTTTAGGTCCATACCTTATGTGCTCAGAGAACCCCCAAGCCTGCACCTAGGGTGTTCAGTCATCCATATCATTAGGGTATCTAGCCAAGAACAGCTTCAAATAAAGCATACACCAGAAGCCCTGTACCAACTCTGTAGCCCCAGATGCATATTTGAAATAGTTTACTAATGAAATATCAAATGAAGGCGAAAAAGAAACATAACTTCAAAAGCTTATGAAATGGTAGATGATGTTAAGCAAACTTACAAGAACTGGAACCCAAATTTCTAAAATTGAAAATGAAAACAGCAGAAAAGCAGAGTTGGTTATTAAAAAGTATCAATCCTGACTATATTCATCTCTATGATGTATTTTTACATACTGTATTTTATTTTTAATATTTATTTTTTATCGCTCCAGCCCTGCTGGAGCGATAGCACAGCGGGTAGGGCATTCGCCTTACAAGCGGCCAACATGGCCGACCCGAGTTCGATTCCTCTGCCCCTCTCGGAGAGCCCGGCAAGCTACCGAGAGTATTCGATATGCCAGACACAGTAACAACAAAGTCTCCAATGGAGACGTTACTGGGCCCGCTCGAGCAAATCGACGATCAACGGGAGGGCCTTTACCTTTACCTTTTTATTTTTTATATTTATTTATTTATTGAATCACTGTAGGAAAAGTTACAAAGTTTTCAGGTTTAAGTTTCAGTTATGCAATGATCAAATACATTTCCCTTCAACAGTACTTATTTTTCACCACCAAGAACCCAAATATACACTCCCCCCCCACCACCACCTCTCCCAATGCCTGTAAGGCAGATGAATTCTACCTAACAGTCTATCTACTTTGATTATGTTCATTATTTTGACAAAAGATGAACCATTATTGTTTACAGTTTACACCCAAAAATCAGAACTGCTGAAAAGGCATTGTAAAATAAATTGTTTTCTACAGTTAGTTATGAGAACCATATGATGTAGCGTGGCTGCTATTGCGGCCGCACAAATTTGGATTTCTGATATTTTACTTATTAAGCCTGGAGGTATTTCTGCCCTGAGCCAGATAATTACAAGATTGGTTTCTATGGCTCTGGAGCCATGGCCATGACGGAGAGCTGCTCGTAGGGGGGAACTATTGGGGGGGGGAACTCATGACCTCAGCAGAGCATGAAGGACAAGCCGGGAACGCCCCGCCTTCCCATAAGGTTTCAGTTGACCCGTCACCACTGGCTCATACCTGGCTTTCCAAAGAGCTCCAAGGAGGTCGCCATCTTGATGTCCGGGGGAAAAAGGCAGAAGGGAGCAACACCCTTTCCCTCCCGGGCAGGCATGGTAACATGGATTAACCCATGGTCCATTCACTTTTCTGCCACATTTAATATTTTATATGTATGCCAATATAAAATGGTATACTCTTTAAGCATGATTATTTTATACCAGGGCTGGAGCGATAGCACAGCGGGTAGGGTGTTTGCCTTGCAAGCGGCTAACATGCCGACCCGAGTTCGATTCCTCCACCCCTTTCGGAGAGCCCAGCAAGCAACCGAGAGTATCTCACCTGTATGGCAAATCCTGGCAAGCTACCCATGATGTATTCGATATGCTAGACACAGTAACCATTATCACAATGGAGACGTTACTGGGCCCGCTCGAGCAAATTGATGAACAACGGGAGGACAGTGACAGTGATTTTATAACAATAAAAAATCAAAATATTAAAATAAAACTAAAATAAAACTAATCCTCTGTTAGCCCCACCCAAGATCTCTCCATAACTTAGCAAGTACAGACAATAAACAGGATATAATTAAGACTAATGAACAAGTCTCATTAATGATTATATGTAGTCAAAATTTTAATAGACTCATATCATTGCACAAGCTTATTTTCCTAACAGAGCATAGAAGGGATTAAAACTCTTGGCACAAAATTTCTGATACTAACAATTTGTGAGAATATTGGAAAACCGTTTTTAATTATGCCATTTTTAAAAAATTTTTATTAGTGAAACACCATGAGGTACAGCTGTAGACTTACAAATTTTTGTGCTTGGGTTTCAGTTATACAATAATCGAATACCCAACTCTCCCATTCTCCACCACCACTGATCCCAGTATCCCTCCCACCCACCCCCATCTCCCCATCCAACCCTACCTCTGTGGCAGGGAATTCCCTTTTGTTCTCTCTCTCCTTTTGAGTTCTGTGGTTTGCAAAAGAGACATTGAGTGGCAAGCATGTTCGGTCTATAGTCTACTCTCATCACAAATCTTCCATCCTGGGAGGAATCTCCCAACATCCTTTATTTGGTGCTCCCTTTTCTATCTGAGCTGCCTTTTCCCCTAGCGTGTGCGGCTAGCCTCAAAGCCATGGAGTAATCCTCCTGGTACTTACCTCGGCTATTCTTGGGGGTTAGTCTCTATTTTGTTACTTTATGTTCCCCAGATGAATAATTATGCCATTCTTTTTTTAAAATAATTTTTATTGAAACACCATGAGGTACACAAAGTTGTTCATGATTAGATTTCAGTAATAGGATTTTTTTTTACCCTCACTTTCATCAGTGTACATTTCCCATGACCCATGTTCCCAGCTTCCCTCCACCACCACTCCCATCTTTCCTCCCTGCCCCAGGCCCCTCCCTCTCTCTTTCTCCCTCTCTTTTGTTCTCTCCCCCAACCCCTTCCTGGTCATTATTGTTTGCACTAGAGGTACTAACAGGTTATCATGTATATCCTTTTACCTACTTTCCGCACTCAATTATTGTCCAAAGTGATCATCTCCGGTTCCAGCTATCAATGTCATAGTGGTCCATTCTCTATCGTAACTGCCCACCCCTCTACTTGTGGCAAACTTTTATAGAATGGTTGAACTCATTTGTGGTATATAAAATAACACTATCTATATAAAAATCATCTGCTGTCTGTGGAGATTAACATTCACAGACAGGAGAAACAAGGCCGGGAGGCCTAATTATGTCATTCTTAAAGGTGGTGTGATTATAGTTCCTTATTACTTGATGTTATTGTAAAACTGAAACATCTGGAATAGTATATTCTTTAAACTAATATTATAATTTTAGTAGTGATTATTTGTGTACAGTTCACTAAAATGCTCATATTTTTATAACATTAGAAAATTACTGATTCAATAATTATTGGTGAATTAGGGTTTAATATGAATACCCCTGCTATATTTCTCAGAATTCTTAACTGCTAACGATAAAACATCAAAATTCCAATCATAATTTTAATGTTAATTTATTATCATTTTGTATTTCTGTAGTTTTATTATTTCTGCTTTCATTTCCCTCTGTATCTTATTGGCAGTCCACGCCAGTTTCTTTCATATCCTTCTGTATTTTACTGGATGTCAGTAGTAAAGTTTCTTTGTGCTCATTAAACAGCCTTGCCATTTTGTCTTTGAATTCTTTATCAGAGAGGTCATGTATGCAGGTATTCTTTGTTGAGTCTTCAGGGCTCTTATCTTCATCACTCCTCCTGGTGAGGATCTTGTTGTTTCCCCATGATGCCCATGGTACTCTGAAGGTGGATCCTTCCAGCACACTATAAAGTTATTGGTGCTGGCAAATATACACTGGTAGAGGGATGAGTGTTGGAACACTGTATGACTGAAACCCAATCATGAACAGCTTTGTAATGTTCTATCTCATGGTGATGTTTCTTTTTGATGTTTCTTTTTCCCCTAAAACTAAACAAATATATATATATATATATATATATATATATATATATATGTGTGTGTGTGTGTGTGTGTGTGTGTGTGTGACCCAGAATCAGGATATATCTAATAATATAACCTGACATAATCTAGTCCATCAATTTTATTTAGAAATCTTTTAGAATATACTGATTGTTAGTCATCAGTACTAAAGTATCAAAAAAACCTTTAAAACTTTTCTGAAAACTTTTAGAAACATTGTAATCAAAATTATGCGATTATAATTATTTTCTGCTGCTATAATCTATTAATTTGGAAGATTCTAGGTCACTGCAACAGCACCAACATTGTGGAACTGATGGAAATTTACAACATATCTTCTACAGACTTCACCTTAAGGGGATTGTTTATTAGAAAAGATACTTCAGGTCTTATTTTTGTCATCATTTCTATCATCTTCTTTATAGCTCTAATAGCCAATGGGGTCATGATTTTCCTCATTTACACTGACTCCCGCCTCCACACCCCCATGTATTTCCTCCTCAGTCACCTCTCCTTCATTGACATGATGTATATCACCACCATTGTGCCTAAGATGTTAATTGATTATATTCTGGGTCAAAGAACCATCTCATTTGCAGGGTGCACTGTTCAGAACTTCCTCTACATCATTCTTTTGGGGACTGAATTTTTTTTATTGGGTCTCATGGCCTATGACCGATATGTGGCTGTCTGCAACCCTTTGAGATATCCCATTCTCATGAGCCGCCGAGTCTGTTGGATAATCGTAACAGGTTCCTGGTTTGGAGGCTCATTGGATGGCTTCATTCTAACCCCCATCACCATGAGCTTCCCCTTCTGTAATTCCCATGAAATTAACCATTTCTTCTGTGAGTTGCCTGCAGTCCTGAAACTGGCCTGTGCAGACATAGCTCTCTATGATACAATCATGTATGTGTGCTGTGTTTTGATGCTCCTGATCCCTTTTTCTATGGTGATTGTCTCCTATGCCCAAATACTGACCACAGTTTATCGTATGAATTCAGTGGAAGGGAAAAAAAAGGCACTCACCACCTGTTCATCTCATATCACAGTGGTGACCTTGTTCTATGGAGCCGCAATGTACATGTACATGGTACCACACTCTTACCACAAACCATTAGAGGACATAATTTTCTCCATGTTTTACACCATTCTCACACCCATGTTGAACCCACTCATCTATAGTCTGAGGAACAAGGATGTGACTGGAGCTCTAAGAAGGACACTGAACAGGTTCAAAAGTACTCAAAGAGTATCAGGGGATGATTTGTGATTACTGGTTTTTCCTGGAGCGATAGCACAGCGGTAGGGCGTTCGCCTTACAAGCGGCCAAGATGCCCGACCCAAGTTCGATTCCTCCGCCCCTCTTGGAGAGCCCGGCAAGCTACCGAGAGTATTCGATATGCCAGACACAGTAACAACGAAGTCTCCAATGGAGATGTTACTGGGCCCGCTCGAGCAAATCGATGATCAACGGGAGGGCCTTTACCTTTACCTTTAGATAAATGAGAGCCTCTGTGGATACTGTGATTATTTTGTTAAAGAAGGACTAAACTTGAAAGTAGAGGACCATTATGCAGGAGGGGGAAATGTTACTATAAAAATATCCTTTTAGTCAAACTTCATTTATTTCTTCTTTCCTTCATTATGTATTTTCATATGTATGCAAAATAAAGAATCTTTGGTGTCTAGAGAAACATGTTGCATCACACTGAACAGTCTTTGAGAGATTCTAAGTAAAGAAAACCTAGATCATGACTAACACACTGAGAACATTACTTTAACTGCTTTAATTAAAATGGACTTGGGAAAATCATTAATTTAGAAATTTATCGTGTATGAAGAGGAAAATTCTTCTAGCTTACTTTAGTAGTGAAGATGTTAGGATTGTTATAACTGGTGATAAATATTTAAAACAGAAAGACTGGAGCTTGATTATTATTGGAATGCAGTGTCTGAGGAAAATAGGAGAATTATGAAATACCCTCAAGTGTTGGGTCTGAAAAAAATAAGATGTTCTATATATTTTTGAAAGAGTAAACAGTATTTCAGTGCTATTTGAGTATACTCAATCTGAATTGTTGATTAAATATATAAGTGAAAATGTGAGAAAAAAATCTGTGTATTTTAGGGGCTAAAGAGATAGTACAACAGGTAGGGAATTTTTCTCGTATATGGTCGACCTGAGCTCTATTTCCAGCATCCAGTTTGGTTCCTGAGCTGAGCCAGAGGGGTAATTCCTCTCTTGTAGAACCAGGAGTAACCCTTGAGCACAACAGAGTATGGCCCAAAACCCCCCACTAAAAGGAATATAGGCATTTTAGTGAGTATAATATGTAAAAAGTTGAGAGAAAAATAGGTTTTAGGAATCCCAGAAATGTAGATGTATGTCCTTGATTATGCAGTCACAGTTCTTTGTATAAAGAAAGGGTTGAAGAGGAAGAAAACAAAGTCCCACTGAAAGGTTTAATTATGTATGGAAGAAAAACACGCACTCATGAAAAAGAAGGGAAATATAATAAAATGCTTAAAAATAGAATGGGGTATTTTCTAATATATTGTGTCATTTCTCCACCATAATTCCTTGCTCTGTTGTAAGCACTTTCATGAATTTTAAAAACAGCCATAACAGACTTGCTCTCTTTGTACACAGTGGCTTTTAGAGACAACATTTTGCCTGAAATAACGGTGCTTTGGGATGCGATTTTTTTTCTTGCTCTTTTTTTTTCGCGGGGGGGGACACGCCATTTAGAGATTAAGGCTTACTCCTGGCTCTGTGCACAGAAATCACACTATTTGGCCATTACATGTTGCTGCTGATCAAACCCTGGTCAACCACATGAAAGAAAATGTTCCTACACTCTGTGTTATCTCTCTGGCGCTGATATTTTTTATTTGACTGCTTAAGCTATTTAAACTATGAGATTTTTATGTTGCAATTTTAATATGACCATATATTGGGATGCCACACATCCAGTGCTCAGGGATAATTCTGACTACACTCAGGGTTCACTCTGGGTGATATAAAGTGCCTCTGAATAGGAAAGAAAGAAGATTCCACTATTTGCAGATGATATGATACTATATTTAGAAAATCCTAAAGACTCTACACAGATGATCCTAGAAATAAATAGATTTGAATATCAATAGAGCCAGATACAAAATCAAAACTCAAAAATCCATGGCTTTCCTATATAAAAATAATGAAAGAGAAGAAACAGGTATTAAAAACACAATCCCATGACACATGTCCCTCTGAAATAAAATACATGGGAATCAGCTTAACTAAAGAGTTAAAGGAAAGTCTTGTAAAAAGAAAAGTAAAAAATACTACTTTAAGAGATAAAAGAGGGCATGAGGAAATGGAGATACATACCCTATTTATGGACTGAGATGATTAATCATAAAATGGCAATGCTCTTCCAAAGCACAATACATATTAAATGCAGTCCCTATAAGGATTCCTATGGCATTTTTCAAAGAAATAGATCAAACACTCATTAAATTCATAGGAACAATAAATCCTCATGAACAGCGAAAGCAATTCTTGGGGGAAAGAAGATGGGAGGAATCATCGTTAACAATTTCAATCTGTACTATAAGCAGTAGTAACTAAAACAGGGTAGTATAGTCTGATATTGGAATAAAGACAGACCTGCAGAGTAAAGGAAAAGAGCTGAATATACTGGCACAGACACTCAACTATAGAATCATTTAACCTTGATAAAGAAGCAAGTAATAAGAAATGGAACAAGGAAAACCTTTTCAACAAGTAGTGCTAAGAAAACGGGCAGCTATCTGCAAAAAAAAAAAAAAATTGAACTCAGACCTCTTTCTAATACCATGAATGAAAGTCAGATCAAAATGAATCAAAAACCTCAATATCAGACTTGAATCCATAAAGTTCATGAAGGAAAACATAGGTAGAACCCTTCGTGACATTAAAGCTAAAGGCATATTCAAAGATGAAACACCACTGACCAAAAAAAGTAGAAGCAAAGATAAACAAATGAGACTACAGTGAACTAAGAAGCTTCTGCACCTCAAAAGACACAGTGACCAAGGTACAAAGATAGCCCATGGAATGGGAAAATTATTTACCCAATGCCAATCTGATAAAGGGTTAATACCAAAGATACATAAAACACTGGTAAAACTTTAAAAGAAAAAAAGCATCCAAGACCTTCAAAAATATGGAGAAGTAATGAACAGAAAGTTCCTAAAAGAAAAAATTCAAATGGCTAAAAGGCACATGAGATGGTGAATAGGATTGGCAGAACACTAGGTGAAGGACAACCATGCGAGCAAGCAGGGTTCCACAAAGGATTCAGCACCATCCACCATATCCACATGATAACCAAGCTCATTGAGGTTTCTTGGGAGTTCAAGATGCCACTCTGCCTAACGTTCATTGATTTAAAGAAGGCCTTTGATTCTGTTGAGACGGAAGCAGTCAATGAAGCCCTAGGCAATCAAGGCATTCAAACTCAATACATCAGGATCCTCCGTGAGCTGTATTGCGGATTCACTACCAGGATCTCACCATTTTACAAAGAAGTGATCGTTGATGTCAAGAGAGGGGTGCGGCAGGGTGATACCATTTCACCGAAACTTTTCAGTGCCACCCTCGAGAACATCATGCAACGACTGGAATGGGAAGGAATGGGAGTGAAGATAGATGGTCGGCAACTACACCACCTCCGCTTTGCTGATGACATTGTTTTAATAACACCAAACATTAGTCAAGCGGCACAAATGCAAATGCTGGCCACCATTGACCATGAGTGTGGAAAGGTTGGACTCCAGCCGAATCTCACGAAGACAATGTTTATGAGAAAGAGTCTCATATCTAGTGTTCCATTCGCTCTCAACGGAACGACCATCTCCAAATGCATCAGTTATGTGTACCTTGGTCGAGAAGTCAACATGACAAATGACCTGACACCTGAGTTGTGCAGAAAGAAGAGAGTGGCTTGGAACGCCTTCCAGAGCCTCGAAGAAATAGCTTAGAGGATTAAGAACCTCTGGCTCCAGGCACATCTCTTCAATTCCACTGTTCTCCCTGCATTAACATATGCCTCAGAGACCTGGGCCCTATGAAAACAGGATGAGAACACTATTCAGGTCTCCCAAAGAGGAATCAAAAGAACTATGCTTGGAGTATCATGTTTCACTCAAATGAAAGAAAGTTCCAACCTCCGTTGAAGGCTCAGAATCAGGGATGCTGTCCCATTTGCCAAGGCGTCGAAAATCAGATGGGCTGGACACGTAATGAGATTTGGAGATGACCACTGGACTAGAGCCGTTACCGACTGGATTCCATGGGACATCAAAAGATGGCATGGCCGGCCGCCTATGAAATGGTCAGACATAGATATAGATTTATATATAGATATGAGCGCACAAGCTCAACCTTTAACAACATGTTAGAAATCTCTTATAAAAGGGCTTAATTGCTTCTGGGTGATATACAACAACCTTTACACACTTTCCTCTAAGAAACCTTCTTCTGGATCATTTTTAGAGAATTATTTAAAACAAGCAATACAAAATAAATTATTTCAATTTTGCTTTGGGATCAGGATTTGGGGTTCAGGATAGAAACGTCCAAAATACAGTGGTAGGATAGTGTAATGGTTGTGGGATTGGTATTCAAATATTAAATGCAATCAAATATTGTGAACAACTTTATGAAAATAAAATAAAATTGGGGGGCCTGAAGGATAGTACAGCAGGAAGGATGTTTGCTTTGCCTTTTACCAACCTGAGTTCAATCCCTGGCATTCCACCTGATCCCCTGAGCACTGCCAGGAGTAATTCCTGAGTGCAGAGCCAGGAGTAACTCCTGAGCATTGAAAGGTGTGACCCAAAAAGCAAAAATTAATCAATTAATTATAACATAAAAATAAAATAAAATTTTTAAAAATGTTCATTAGTCATCAGGGAGACACAAACCAAAGCTAGCAATGAGATACCAACTCCAACCACAAAGACTAGCAATCATCAAAAAGAACAAGAGGACCACTGCTGGTGTGAATGCAGACAGAAAGGGACTCTCCTTCATTGTTTGTGAGAATGCTGACTCATCCAGCCTTTTTTGGAAGACAACATGGACATTCCTAAGAAAAAGCTAGATAGAAATTGATTTTCCGTATGACCTGTCAACATCACTTCTGAGAATATACCATGGGGCCCCAAAAGTACATAGAAGAAATGCCACCTGCACTTCTATGTTTACTGTACACTATTCACAATAGCCAGAATCTGGAAATA